AGACACAAGCGGTTTGTACTTGTACGCCGCTACCGAGGATTTGAACGCGGCATGATTTATTTCATTTTCCGCGCTAGAGTATATCATTACGGATAGACGTTGGATGCGATGGTCGCCCCGAGGACCGCTGTCGGTAGGGTTTGATCAATCCAAAAGTAAATTATTGAAGTCGTCCGACGATTTTCGTGATGCGATTTTTAATTCGAAAGTCATCTGTTCGCGGGGCAGACGCGAACATCGAACGTTGCTGTAACAACAGATACGATCGCGGGGGGAAAAAAAATAAAAATATGTACCCCGTCGATATGAACGATGAATAATGCTCGCGGTTAAAACACACAATGAAAACTGTCTACGACAGAATGTGACACTGGACCGTTTTAGACGGGTTTTAATCCGTTCGTCTACGTTTGCGATTGTTTTCACGTCTCGAGTCGAATGAAATGGCCACGGCCATCGTACACGTGCTGAGCACGGAAACACGTGTAACCCGATCTCCGAACAAATAAGGGTTGGCGGCTCGTGTTCCCGTTGCGCGCGTGACGCATAAATCGAGTGATTGTCGTGCGCGCTGGTGACTCGCGGGACGGAAACACCGTACGACGAAAATCTACAATTTTGTATCCCTTAAACAGGCGTACAGGTATTTCTGTATCCGGGGGAAGTGTTGAGATATGGCGGCTGCGCCTTCGCCGTCGGTCATGACGCGTTGTCATAAGATCAACGGATGATTTCGGTTGTCGACCGACCAGAACTCGGATTCTCGAAGTTGTGCGAAAAATAAAATGTTCGTGTGTCGCGTATCAGATGAACGTCCGGTCTCTCGAGCTCTGCGCGGTTAGGTTACCATGCGAGTGGCCGCGAAACGCGAACGAAAAAGTGTTTACAGAACACCGTATAAACCGTCGGGTCGTATGTACCGTATACGTATTTTTCTAAATTGTCGGTGTCGCTTAACAAGTAATGCCCGATAAGCAGATGCGATGCAATCGGTAACGTGCACCACTCTCTGTTCGTCGTCGATAGAAAAAAATATTTATGATCCCATCGGTTTCCACTAAGTCTTAACGTATAGAAACGAAAATGCAATCGAACGATAAAATAATAACTAAATTTGCTCGCTGCTTCAACATACTTCATTATGTTTGTGGACCGGGGGGGAGGGGGGTGGGTAAAGGCTTAAAAAAATCCCGGTCGCGCCACGGATGCCGTATAACGTGTGCGGGACACGACGAAAAACGATTTCGGTTGCTGCGACACGCGTCCGACGATCGAGATCTATGAAAATTTAAATCGCGCATTATCGTTTTTGAAACCGACAACAATACATGTTAATCGCGTCGTGCCGTATTACGTCGTTCTCGCGTGTCCATAATAACGTACGTGGGACAACGCGGTCAGGTGGAATGCGCGTAACGCAGCGGAACAACCATTAAGTACGTGTACGTTTATCGATCCGGAGTAATCGAATTGTGTTTGCACGACACGGTGCAGATCACGGTCATCGGTCGCGCGTACCCGTTCGTCGGCAACCGATTTGCTCATCCTCACGTCTGTTGCCGGATACCTGCAGTGGCCCTAACGCGCATACCCCGTTCAGACCGGTGGTGCCGTGTGCTGCTGGTACGTACACTTTCGTTGCTGCTGTTGATGTTTTTATTCTACGATTAGAAAGGCCTTTCAAGACCAGACCGTCTCGCGTCCCACTCCTCTGTTCCGCTCTTCTTCTCCCGATTCGTGTCTCCACCAAGTGACCGTACATCATTTTCGAATTAGTCTTCTCATCTTTTTTTTTTTTTTTTTTTTGGGGGTCTTCCAAGCGATCTTTTATCGAACGGTTCATTGCCTTTTATCGATTCGTTTTGGCTCCTCCAGGCATGGTCTGCCCGTTGAAGTCTAAGCTTTTTTATCACGTCCGTTACGATCGCGTTTTGGAATAACGATTCCAGCTCCGTATTCTTTCTCCTTCTCCATTCTTCACCGGAATTTTCTGTCACAAAACTGACATCGGCTTGTGTACTGTTAGTGTATTCCATGCACCGTGTTCTGTTGTTTCCGTTTTATTTTCGACCGGGCGGCAGTATTGATTACCTTACTGTCCGCGATGGCTATACGTCATTACGTACGTACGCTCCTACAATACTATATTTGTACACACGAACGTATTGTGTTTGCGTATCGTTATTGCGAATCGACGGGGAAACGATGCCTGTGTTTAATGTCAACGCAGAAAAGGGGAGAAAAACCTTTTTTTTATTACCGATTACGTAATTGTTTACTCTCAACGCACTCTCGTTCACATCACGTCGCTTTTAACCGAGTTTTCCATGGCGCAAAATCATTATCCGGTTCAGGTTTCTCCCCCTGACTTTCTTCAGCAAACCGTGGGGGTGTCACGATCAAACGTAATATTATTATTGTCCGGGGCAAAACAGAGTACACAAGTTTTTCTCTATCATTCTCCTTGACGCGCTCGCGTATTTCCCCGACACGACCGGTGGCTTTCAACAATGACGTTATCGTTTCGCAAGTAAATCCGTATTGCTCCTTCGAAACAGCACCGATCGGTTTTCACGTCCTGATCGTAGGACGAGTGGTGAACGCCGATACCGCAGTGATGTGGTCGCGCGCAGGGATCGCGTACTCGCGTCCGACATTTTTTCGTCGCATAACCGCTCGCCACTCGAATGCATCCGTAGTGATAACCGATGGGTCTACGACAGGGGTGGCGAACCTATGGCACGTTGACCGAATTTTAACGGCATGCGCAAAAAATTGAAATTATTAAAAATTGTACACAAAAAAAATTCTACTATGTATAAAATGTTGGTTATAAAAAATTCACAAAAACAAATTATATAAATTTTAAAGACGACAATATTCCTTATGCTTTCATGTTTTTTGTCAACTTATATTTGTAAAAGCCATAACGGATTTAATTAAATCGAAGGAAAGAAATGTTTTGACCAGTGAAACAATTGCTGCTTGTGTTTCATTAGAATGTAATAAAAATAAAGTAATAAATTTGTAATTTTATTTCTATTCTTAGAAAATATCTATGGGGACATTAACGATTTTCATATCCTTAGTTAGAAAAATTTGGCACCTGAACCAAAAAGGTTCGCCACCCCTGTTTCTACGAACATCGTATCGATTACGCTTCACACGCCCTCGGACGAAAACGTTGTTCTGTTCGGAAGAATTGCACCCGAACGAGGTGTACGTGAGTGCAAGGGTGGGTTCATTTTTTCGTTCGGTAATACGTAGAGTAGTGCCCAGTTCATCGTGTTGGCGAACAATGTTGTAGATCGGGCCGGACTAGGCAGGCGGGATACCGGAAGTTTCCCGGTGGGCCGCTTGTACTCCTCGGGAAGTTCTTTTTTTAGGTTCATCGGTTTAGCCTCGTTGTATCAACAGACATATATGCATTTTCTAATGCGATTGCATTCTAATAGAAACTGTCTAAAATTAAATAAAGTTTCTTTTAATTTTGAATAATAGTATTAAGTTTTCAAATTCTCAAAATAACAAACAATAATTTTGTATGAAAATATACGTTTTTTAGGGTTGTTCTCATACCTTTGGTATATCTAAATGGGCCGTTTTTTTTTTTTATTTTCCCGGTAGAAATTTCTGACCCAATACGGCCTTGGTTGTAGATATAAGATTATACGCAACACTTTATGCACACGTGGAGTAGAAGAATAGAAGGAGCACGACCGGCGATGTAGTCCTACGCGGGTTTATAGGTATGTGCCTGAATCGTTGTAAAAATATATACGTACAATACTGTGAAACGGTTTAAAACGGTCAAACGGTCTCTGCACTAAATTAGTACTATCTATAGCCAACATTTTTTTTGCCAGTGGATTAAACAAATCACGCTAATCTTTTTTTATTGCTGGATATTAAAATTTAATAAATATTACCCAATACAAATATTGTAATCTGGGTAACGTTAATACGTCTTGTTCGTGGTCCGCGCGCCTGCGTACCACGGTTTTCGTTGAGGGTACACGCATAATTATAAAATTAAGAGGTGGGCAACACCGTGTACCCTCCACCACACCACTATGCACGACGCGTGGTAATTATAACGACGAAAGGGCTTGTTTTTATAACAATTTGTGAACGTGAAAAGGAACAGAAACACATGAAAAACGGGAAACGACCTTAAAAGTTATTCACATGAATACGTTTCGCCTTTGGGGCCATTGTCTCCGAAACGTCTCGTCGGGTGACAATTACAAACGAGTAAAACGTATCATTTTCCTGACAACGATTTAGTTATCGCGGTAAATTTATATTAGTAAGATTGTAGTACGGTTTTTGTAAATATTTTTATTAAACCAGACTAGGTTGTTACTACGGTTTGGACAAATGTTTTGCAATGACAACCACATAGTTGTTGGGAAAACGATACGTCTTACTGATTGGTGTTAAGCGTACGTCCGTGATAAGTCTTGTGGATAATATAACAAGACATATCCGTGTATGGCGCGAATACGCGGCGGAGACTGGTGTGACATGCAGTTGGTTTTGGAAAACGGTTGAAAATAGTCTATATCTTCTGTTATAAGTTTGAGTTAAACGCTTAGAAGTGTTCGATCAGCCAATAAATAAAGGCCAAGGAACATCATGACAGGTGGGTTTAATCGTATGGGAAGGGCAGTCTATTTATAGAGTCCAGCTAGCAAAGTTAAATTATGCTCTTTGAACTCGCGCAAGAAACTTACTTGCAGTTCGAAGGAGCCGTGTTTTCTGAACCGTATTCAAATAGCAAATGCGCATTTTAAGACTGCCATTGGAACAGTTAACTCAAAATTCAGCCAAGTTTACTATTAATTCCGATGGTCGCATGTTTATACATGTAAAACTATTTAGAAACAGTTTTTTAACTGACATATAAGTGACATGGTTTTTTTTTTTTTTATAACACGATCGATAAATATAATCGATTACGGTGCGTTCTAACCAAACAAATTATATTATGTCACCAGGTTGCCAATTTTATCCCGTCGACAATCACTTCAGGTTTGTTAGATTATCGGAAACCACACCAGTCGGTTCTGAGGTGATGCAGATCGAGGTGCATCCAAGGAGAAACCTCAATTTGCAACCAATCGATAATGTAAGTATTACAAGTGGTATTCAGAAAAAATACAAACAGCGTGAACGCTAACGATTAATACGCATAAAATGTCTTCAACAGCACGATGACGTGGCGTTTTTCAAATTCCGCACAATTAACCGAACAGCGATTTCGTTGAGGTTGGCTCGATCTCTTGATGATTTAGTCGACCGACCAAATCCTATCGAAATACTTAAAGTCAAATTGGTGTGCGGAGTCGAAGACGCTTCGGTAATTATTCCGTTACATATACGACTTAAATCATTCTAGTGAAACTATTTACTAGCATTGTACATTGAATCAATTGAAATTCGATTTGCGGTTTTCAAATAATAATCTTGTTCAATCGTATAACGATTGTCTCGATAACTTATTACATAAGTGTTAGTTATTATTGATAGATAAATTGAACTAGAAACGATGTAAGTAATGACTAGAGCGCGGATTTATATGCATTAAAAACCAATCAAATATGCGCAAAAAAAACCCTAAATATGCATAAGTATATTATACACTAAAATTTTAAAAAATATGCTCGAAAAATAAAAAAAAATATCCATAAAAAATAATTTGCCGAAACCAGTGCTTCGCATAAATGTGCAGAAAATAAATTTCATTTCATATTTCAGTGTTGTAGTGTTAGTGAATAAACTTTGAAAATTTCGTTGTTTATCCTGTTGTAAATTCACATATTTTAAATGTTTTTCAGTTTTAATATTTTGTGTAATTGTATACCGTTTATAGCGGGAAACTTTTACTCCACATAATTTGCACAGTATGATTTGACCATCGGTTGAAAAAATATTCTCCCCGAATTCATGCTCATAATTACGAAGACGACTCGATAACGAAGATTTATCTTTCGGAATTTTGAAAAAAATAAAATAATAAAAACGCGAATTACGACACGAGCACATACGAACGCACAGCTGTAAATATTTTAATGGGACTGAAATAGCGAAATAGTGGTGGACCGTTATCGCTGTATTCGGTACAATGTAACGATTACATAGATGGAACGAGTAGGAACGAGTACATTAATCGTTCCATGATCGATTAAACATTGTTTAAACTATAAAAATATAATATTTTTTTCTTATAATATTATATATTTCAAAAAAAAAACAAAAAATACGAAATATGCAATTAAAATTGTAATATAAGCCCTTAAAATAGAAAAATGTCAAAATATGCAATAATATGCACTAAAAAAATTTCATTTTTTAAATTATTATGTTATGAAACAAATGTTGTGCTCACTTAGCATATCATGTGATCAACCAGAATAAATATGCAAATGCATACAAATCCGCGCTCTAGTAATGACTATTGATAAATAAATATATTTAACTGCAGTTCGGCTCGTCCATTGTCATTACCGCGTACGTCGACGACGTCAACGACAACAGTCCCAGTTTCATCGGCGCGCCGTATGGAGCGGAAATCTCCGAGTCAACACCAATCGGTAAGTACACAAGTGATTCTTAAACGTTACGGTTACAGGTTTATGTAATAACTATATAACCGACTTCTTGAACAGCACGATCGATGCCTAAAGCCGTTTTTTGTCCCTTGCGCAATGTTTAGAAATTCTTATAATTTCCACACGGTCCTGATGTCAAACTAACAATCGATAAACGTGCGAATTGATTATAACTTACTTATTTTCTTCTTCTTCAGGTATACGGCCACTAAGACTGTCCTATTAAACATTTATCCCTCCGGCCATCTCTGTCGGATGCTCGAACCCTCCACCTCAGGCACTTACATCTTTTTTTTTATCAGATCTATCCATCTCATACGAGAACTGGCTTCTTCCCTACTGGATCCTTTTCTAATACGTAGCAAAGGATTTTGGCTATGCCAAACATGGCCAGCCCACATTGGTCTTTTATTTTTCTTATAGAATAATATAAATTTCGGATAAACATTGCCAAAGTTAAAAATGGCTAATCTGAGCGTCATCGCTAAAAAGACATTCGGCTAACTTGCAGTTTTCTTATATCATAATTACAAATAGAGCATTTTGTATTGTTATTCATTGTTAACCGTACGGCGCGTTACGTGCTACTTTTTCGCCAAAAGGAACGACTGTTGTGCGGGGAATAAAAGCAGTAGACGCCGATAAACCGAACACTCCCAACTCGGAAGTGCGATACTTAATCGCCGCGTCGAAATCTCAAGCCAAGTTTTCGTTGGTGATGGATGCCAACGGTTCCGCGACAGTGGTGCTCAAGGAATCGCTTAACTTCGACACCGGAGACGAACGGTTCCTGTTGGAAGTGTACGCCAAGGACGAAGGATCTCCGTCCAGGAACGCCAGCACTATCGTTGATGTGCGCGTGAAACGGGACGAGTCTAAAGTGTTGAAATTCTCTAGTGACGTTTATCACAGTCAGTTCAAAGAACATTTTCCGATAACGGTAAGCGCGTAAGCTTGATAGACGTGGATGAATTTATTTCGACACATCAGTCTAACGTATACGCGCGCGTGTGTTTTTACAGGGAAAAAAAATTCTCCAAGAAATTCCTTTCAACCCGCCGATTCGCGCGTTTTACGAGAACAATACACTAAACGCTTCAATCCGATACTCGTTGACGTCGTTGGACTTCGACGATGACGTGTTTCACGTAGATCAAATATCTGCGAAGATATACCTGAACAAGGAAATCGACGCGGATTTACTTCCATCAAACATATTTTTACTGAAGGTATAAACATTTAGTGATCTTATACGATCACGGGTACGATACGCTGTTTGTTATTTTTTTTAATTTATTTTATAAGAAGTAATTTTATTGTGCCGTATATTCATTACGTTATGTATTATATCCGAGGGTTCATCAATGAAAGAAAGTAAAGTTTTTTTTCTTTTACAACTCACAAGACGAAAAAATTCGGTCGATAATTAGTTGGGAAATAAATCAGGTTCGCAAATCAAATGTTCGTACTACAGAGCAAGTCACAGCAATTTGTCATCTTTGTTGTGATACTTTTAAGTCTCGATTAAGTCAAGTTGTAAAAAGTAAATAAACCGCAAAAGTAAAAGAAAGTTAAATAGTTTAATTTTTAATTGTTCGTTAGCAAAATATAAATTACTATAGTCTTTCTATGAATCACGAAGTTTATGAAGTTAAGAACTTTAACTGTAAAGCGTAGAAATGTCAGTATAACAGGCATTTACAGTAGAATACGTTTTTTTTTTTATATTAGTTTTTCACTTAAACGTTTATCGTATATTTGATTTCAAAAATCGATGAATACAATATTTAGTCACGAGGAAAAATAATTTTATGTAGTTTAAAAAAATGCGGTTTATTTGTCCGAAACGGTATACCATTTACGCGCAACTGTGATGGGCTTAATATCTTATATTTATTGGTGGGGGGAGAGTCAACATTTCTTAAAACAATATGAAATTCATAGTTTAAAAATACCTTTTATTGTTATTCATCGGATATTAATTCACGTGTATGAAAAAAATATGCAAATACCTGTACAACACGAAATACGTAACTGTACCTTTTGATAAGTATTAACCATAAACGCGATTGTTATTTTAAATCAATTCCCGTGTCATTGTTTCGATTCGTATGTTCGTAAAATTTTGCCGCTTTACGATTTTCTCTTCCCGAACGTTATTTATCACCACGAAAAGCATGTGTGTACTCGACTGAAAAATAATTTTCATCGAAAACCACTCCTGGTCTCCTGGTCGCGAGTGACGGTTGAAAATCGCCAGGTTTAGGTTATCGAACCGAAGGGCTTCGGGTTATCGGGGGGAGGAGGGGAACGGCGGACCGTAACAACGTGCGTAATTTTCTATATGCTATTCTTTCTGTCCAGATCCAAGCGGTGGACGTGAACAACCCGTCGAAAAAAGCGTTCGCCGAGGTGGAGATCGAAGCGATCGACGTGAACGACAACCAGCCGAAGTTCGAGGTGGACTCGTACAACGTGAGCGTGTTCGAGAACATCCCCAACGGGTACAACGTGCTGCGGGTGGTGGCCACCGACTTGGACCAGGGCGACAACGGCGAGTTCGTCTATCACCTGGTTGACCCTAGCCAGGCGTTCACCATCGATGGCAAGACCGGTTGGATAACGGTACGGAATCACACGAAACTGGACCGCGAGCAGAAGACGAGTTTCTCGTTGCGGGTGTACGCGCGCGAGAAGATACCGTTCGTGATGCACCAAAAAGAAACCGGGTGAGACGGCTGCATGTGGCTTACGTGAACATCGAACAAACTTAAACGAACGACGTTTCACCAGCTGTCCTTCCGCCCTCTTCGACTGACGCTCGTGTCATTCGTTTTCCTTGATTCTCGATATCTTGGCCCGTGGAACATCTAGCAATTCCACGGGTTCCTTCGATCCTGGCATATCTAACAAAATGGAAAACGAAACAAACTTTTTTTGTTTCACGGTGCCAATGTTTGACGCTTCTTCGGTGTGGTGCGAACGTGCGCGCGACAACCGAAAGCATGCGAAAACCTACTACAGTGAAACCTCTCTTAACGGACACCTCTGAATAAAGGACACTTCCGAATGGCGGATAATTTTATGGGAACGGGGACAATTTCACTACTTTCATATTGGAAAACCCCTAAATACCAGACACTCTAATTAACGGACACTTTTATGGCAATTTAATTTTGATTTTGACATTTTTTATCGTAAATGTAAAATAATCGTTGAATGCCAATTTAATTTAATCTTACTACTATGTATTATAAATTATTATACAATTATAGTTTATCTTATCTGTCCATTGTTTCATCGCGTCGATGAAACATTTTTTCTATATTATTCTGTGAAGTTATCGTACTCGTATTTAGTTGTGATAGTGATTTCATCGTATTCGAACGTGCTAGTGTAACGTAACATGTTTCATAAACGTATTGCAATGACTAGTAAAAAAAAAGAAGTCATGTTAGAAAGAAAAAAATCGAGCTTCTTGAATTCCAAGCATTTAATACTAATATGGGTGTTCGTGCGATCGCAGACAAGTTTAGTGTTAGTAAAACACAAATCGCGGATATCATAGCTAATAAAGATACGCTTTACATATAATTTATAATGTATACAAATATCATTATTATAAATATTATATGTATACATATAAATAATAAATGTTGTACATGTGTAGTTATTAATTTCTCCAAGTTATTTTCAAGAATTTATCCCTCTCCCCCTATGAATAGCGGACACCTCTAAATAACGGACAAAATTAAGGTGACTAAGAGTGTCCTTTATTTAAAGATTTCACTGTATAGATAATTCTACAGTTTCGTCTTTGACACTTCCTCCTCCCCGTCTCATACATTTCGACAGTTCTCACGGAAACCGATATCGAATAATCAGTCGCGCTTTTTCGCACCGATTCAGCGTTGGCACCGCGGACAGAAACTATTTCGGTTGGCCGGTGAAACGTGTGCGAATAACTTCCGGATCGCTGGCGGTTCGCCCTACTACTGCAGTTTGTAACCGCATTTTTAATTCGTTTTTTGTTTCGCCACGCAGGGACGCATTTGTCAGCGTGGAAATCGTTCTGGTCGACGTTAACGACAACGGGCCGACGTTCGTGCCGAACAACCAGTACAGTTTCAAGACAAAAGTGGACCACGCGATAGGAGCTACGATTGGCAAGGTAAGCACGCGGCAACGGTTGCCGGCGGTCCCTCGTTTAGATAAACGATGACGGAAACGTTGCGCAGAATTTTTGCGGGGCCAATAACGTGCGTTTGTTTTCGTTCAATTTTTACGAACCCTAATTCTCATCGGTTAGCACGTCACCGTTTTTCGGTGACACGACAGCGTTACCGTGAGATTATTTACGGTTAAACAAATGATGAGTGGGGGAGGCACCAGGGCCGTAGCAAGTGGGGGCTAGAGGTGCATACGCCCCGAGCGCGATTCCCGGGAGGGCGTAAAAATGAAAAATTTGCAATTTAATTATTACTTATAAGTAAAAGCAATATTTAGTATTTATGTAATTACTTACATAACTTATAAACATTATTATGTTATACCTATGAACCTACTTATAACTATTATGTATAATTGTATTTTAATAAGTTACATAGCTATAAAGAAAAATCATTATTTATATTACATCTATAGAAAATATTCAGCTGTTTTGTGAGTTTTTTTTTATAAATTAAAATACTTAAGGGCGTATTTTGAAGTTCGCCCCGTGCACAATATTTGGTTGCTACGGCCCTGGGAGGCACTGCCGGAATGATACGGTTTTCGTACGTTCGAAACGTGTGACTGATTCGCGTGCCCACAGGTCGAAGCCGTGGACCCGGACGACGGGGACAACGGGCGCGTGGTGTACAGGGTCTCGTACTCGCCCAACAACGATTCGGAAGTGTTCGCCGTCAACCCGGAAACAGGCGAGGTGTTCGCCAACGAGACGCCGTTGCGCGCGGGCGTGCACACGATCATCGTGAACGCTTCGGACCAGGCGGTCGACCCCAAGGAAATGAAGTACTCGTTGGCCGTGGTCACGATCGCGGTGGTCATGGAAGGTGCGTACGAAATGTTCAAACGATACGGTTTGATCGACGTGCGTTGCGCAGGCCGCACCCGTTAAAAATGTTTGAAACTTTTAATTTGTAAATTTAGCGCGGCCTCGATATTCGCATCACACTTTTTATCTGCCAAAAATCCTAATCAACCCTTTCGAACGCTGCGCCGGTTGGTACATTTTTTGTTGTGTGACCTATCGGTGCCCGGTCGTACCAACATGGCATATGATGTTAAACTAAATACAAAAATATTCGCGTGGTCAAATAAGCGTTTGATAATGGCAGTACGTTAAAATTTAAACCCAAGCACGTGTTTCAATATTTTTCTGCAAAACTGAGCGAATTCATGATACCGTTGTAAGCATAGCAAGGTTCCACGAAGAATCTACCTTTTATTTTTCACAAATACCCGTTTTCACCGAAACGTTTCTTGCACTTTTCCGCCGAACAAGAAGTCGATCACGTGTCTACCGGAACACGCAACCCGGTACCTACAATACTTTCGAGTTTAAACGCGGAAAAAACAGCATTTACTCACGTTCGAAAGGGTTGATCGATAGCGGCTGGTGCAGAGTCCACCGGCCGCATCCAAAGAATTCTCCAGTTTGTCCGGCTAATGACGTTTCGCCCCTGCATCGTAAGACTAACGCCATGTTGCCCGTTCGGTTTTTCCAGAAATCGTCCATCCCGATTTCGTCAACGCCCCGTACGAGTTCTGGGTCGGAAGCGACGTGCCGGTGGGTACGAGCGTGGGCCAAGTGCGAATAGTCTCGGAGAACCCGGACATCGATTACGATCTGCTGCACACGTACCAGGAAGGAGGTAAGACCCGACGGACAAACCGACCGATGTTTTCCGATGCGATAACGAATGTCGACGTTTGTTACAGTGCCGTTCGCCGTCGAGGAGAAGACCGGTACGATTTCGGTAGTCGACATCATCACAAACTTCGACCGGACCGACTACGAGTTCGAAGCCGTAGCCACGGACAACCGGGACCTGATCATCTCCACCAACGTCACCATCCACATAGTGTACTCGGATTCCAGTCAGACGTTGTCGAAGTAATATTGTCTTACGATCCCATTTTTTTTTTTTTTTTTTTTTTTATCACCGTTTACGGGATGAAAAGTTTCACGTTTTGTTTGTGCGTACGATTATGTTGACACCACGTTTTTTCATTCTTATCCGCAGGACCGTGGATCCCATAAGTCTGATGTTCCGAGTGCGAGAGAATCTGCCGGGCGTCGCGATCGGGAGACTGTGGAACGTGGACTTCTCGAACTCGTCGACCATGTCCAAGCCGAGTTTCATCGTTGCCGACCCGGACGACGGGGAACTGTTCACCGTGTCCGAGGACGGCGTTTTGTACACGAAATCCGGCTTGGACAGAGAGACCAAGGACAGCTTCAAGTTGACCGTCATCGCGGACCGGAAGACGAAGACTGGGATACACCACGCGACCATATTTCAGATACGCATCGTGGTGGACGACGAGAACGACAACGCGCCTGAGTTCCAAATAAAGCACTACGAGGGTTCGGTAACGGAAAACTGTGACGTCGGTACACACGTCGACTTGAACGCGCCTGTTAGAACAATAGATCGAGACTTGGGACCTAACTCTGTTTTTTCGTTGACTTTAAAAGGAGAAGGTAACGCAGTTTTTCTTAGTTACGTCTGTTGCTGGCTTTTGATTTGTAAATAATAATATACAGCTTAAAAACGCTCTTGTTTCTGGGACGATTTTCCCGCGAATTATTTTTATGGAATCAACGATACACTACTTTCAATACTTGATGGCATATCTATCATTTTCCGAAAAAAAAAAAAACCTGTTGAAATGAATCGCTTATTAGGGTGCGGATTTCTATGTAATAAAAAAGTCTAAGTATGTGAACATTCATTATTATTTTTGTCGAAATATCTAAGAAAAATATCGGTATTTTACATTAATTTTTAATTAATAATTAATAATTGTTTGTCTAATCATTTTTCATTGCCTTCTTCGGAAGAAATGGATAAAATGTGCATTTGGAGATTTTAAAATTTGAATGTACAACGGTTAATTACCAAAATCGACTTGTAGCGGCTGAATGAGCGTTCAACGTCGATAAACGTTAATGGAACATATTTCATATTACAGTGTCAAAAGATGTGAAATCAATATCATTCGACGTATTTTCATTAATATTCGGAAGAATATCTCTAATAGTTTTAGTTGTTTGTAAACTAATGTTATTACTGAGTACGTAGTTAAATTTATTTTTTATCATAATTCCTGATTTTCTTTGAAATTCGTTTGATTTGTTTTCTGAATTTTTCACAATCGCAAGACTTTTAATTATTGCTAGATTTTATGTTTCTAATATTTTTATTACTGTAACCAAGAAACAAAAATTTGTAGAAATATATGCTATATAATTTTTCAGGTTATTGTTTTGTATCATATCAGTAGCTTGTGCAATAGCGATTGGCAGTATTCGAATCAACAAATTTGAAATATCTTTTTTAATGTTTTTTTTTTTTAAATTGAATTCCAATTTAATAATTTTAATACAAATAAATACAAACAAAGACTGCACAGGCATGAAAATGTGAAAATATTTACAAAATATGTAAATTTTGGTGAAATATTTAAAAATATGTTAAAAATATGTATTTACATAAAAATACGTAAAAATATGTAAAACAAAAAAGTCACATTTGTTGTTCGGGGCGTAATGAAATACACTTATTTTAATCTGGATTGAGAAATTCGCATTCGATAGAATTACGTATTTACATAAGAATCCGCGCCCCACTTATCACTATCGCTGTCGTTCGTAAAGTAGGGTGACCATACGTCCTGTTAAGTAGGATTTTCCTGCTTTTCAGATTGATGTCTTGTTTTTTAAATCATAACTAAACATGACGCATTTAATCCTGTTTTCCGTGACTGTTTTGTTTTAATCCTGTTTTCTATTATTTTTTCATAAAAAAGTTATTTTAGCGATTAATTAATATTCATCAATAATAATATACTTTGGATATTTTTCTCTATTGAGAAAGATAAACAATACTGGAACGCGCTCTTACTAATATCGTCTGTGAGACGAAAACGAGCCATATCTTGAACGTTATTCCCACCTCTGTAAGGAAAGAAAATAGCGGCACACTTGCGAACGTACTAGAGAACATAAACGCCTCATAACAATTTGAGTATTTTCATTCATCCGATTTTAAAAATTAAAAACTATTTGAACTTATGAACAACCCTACTATACAGCGATATAGTTGTTTATAGAAAAAATATTAATGCAAGTAAAATATAATATTTAAACCATTTAAATTTAAAAATGACAAAACAAAATAGAATATACTTAAAAGATTTACATTTTAAACATAAAAACAAATTTAAATTTGATTTTTAAAAACTTTGAAATAGTATTAGTTTATTAAAATTTTGTCTCCAAGAATTTTTTTTCTTTTTATTTATTAACTTCTTTAGCATAATGACGCATTCTAATATTTATGTAGCTGTCACTAAGAGCAAAGAACAAATTATGTTCATGACTAGGAGAACCGAGGTCAACATTTATAGAATGAGTATTTGGGAAAAAGAATAAATTTGACTTATTTAATATATTTTTCATTGCTAGCATTAAAATATGAGTTTTTACATTTGCATGTAGTTTTTTTTTGCATTACTACAATAAGTTGAAATGATTTTTCCAATTCTTTAAGAATTAATGAAACAGCAGGAGAAACTATTTTTAATTTTTCTCTTGCGACAAAAGAAGTAAAATTTATATTTTTTTGTATAGCTATGGTATATTTTTTATATAATATGAACTAACTGTCTATCAAATAGTATATCAATTCAAATGTATGTATATTATACAGTATATAAATTAATTGGAAAGTTGGTAGCTGTAAATATAATAGATAACATTCAATTTTACTAGTACGAGTACATAGTTTCTATATTATAAATTGTAGGTATGTAGTGTAGATATTTTTTAATTAAAATTAAATTTTTGAAAATAAACTAACCTTTTGACGATTTTGAAGTAGTGAACACGATACAACCATATTTATAAAAATGATGAGTTTTAATTTTTAAGGCACCTATATTTTATAGATTTATATATATATATATATATATATGTATATTTTTTTTTGAAAATAGAATCATAAGCATTAAGCAGTTAAATACAATCTTAATTGAACTTGAACAAAATTCTGATGTTTACTGTTCAGCACAGAATAGTCGTATTCACATAGCAATATTATATTTTCTTACCCTGCATTAGTGTTGGAAGCGTTTAAGAACTTGGCTCGTTTTCAGTATCTCAGTACACGCTCCGGTATTGTTCATCTATCTCGATGTTTTTCTCTGTGAAATTCAGTCGTGTGTTTAGTGTTTATTTTTAGTGTGGGTATTTATTTTCCCCGAAATTACGACGATGTCGATCGTCGAGTTACAATAATATATCATTATTGTAACTCGATATAATAAATATTAATAACATTCAGAACACTAGAACGTTAATTATTTTTCGAGATTGTTTTTGAAATTATAAGTTTTGTTATTATCATATATATTACTTATATAAGTTCCTCGTTTCGATTACAATCAATATTTTTTTTCTTACCTATTGCGAAAAAAGTGTCCTGTTTTTTTTTCATATATGGTCACCCTATCGTAAAGCAAATTGACGCAACGTGTTCGAATCGGTGCACGGCAGCGGATTCCTTTTACCGTTGCGGTACGGACCGTCGTAGGCCGCGATGTCGAAATACGATGATGATGGCACGTTGGGGATCGGTTCTGATTGCAGGTAGCGAAGTGTTCGCCATCGACAAGGAGTCCGGGGACGTGACCGTCTCGCGACCGACGGTCGATCGGGAGGCCAAGGACACGTACCACCTAAAGATCGTGGCCACGGATCGGGGCAACCTGACGTCCGAGGCTTCGCTCACCATACGCGTGACCGACGTGAATGACAACGTGCCCGTATTCAAACGCATAGCCGTGTACACGAAGGACAAGGTGCGGGTGGCCGCCAGCAGCCGGTCGAACGTGTCGGTGACAGTGGGTGACCGGCCGGTGCCGCACCGGTTGGACAACGCGACCACGACCATGGTTGCGTGGCTGCCGGACACCGTACAACCGGGCACTCCGATACTGGCGGTGACAGCCGAAGACGCGGACTCCACTGGGTCGGCGATCACGTACCGGCTGGCCAGGGGCGGGTTGGAGTTCGCCGTGCACCCGGTTTCTGGTCAACTGTCCGTGGTGGGTCAACTGAAGATCGGCGAACAGGCGTTGAACGTAACCGCGGAGGACGAAGGCGGCTTAACCGCGTGGATACTGATTGTCGCGTTCGTCGAGGAAGACGTTCTGTTCGAGAAAAAGTGAGTACCGAGCTCACGCGTAACGGATGACCGTCGTCGTGTACGTTGCTAACGATATCGATTTACTCGCAGGGCGTACGAGTTCTGGGTGCCCGAAGGCTCGTACAAGAGCCACGAGATCGGGTGCGTCATCACGGAGGAGAGTTCGGTCACGTACTCGTTGTCCAAGAAGAGCTACCGTAACCCTGCGTTCTCCGTGACCGACGCCGGGTGTCTGCTGGTGTCCGGCGATTTGGACCGGGAGACCAGGGAATCGTTCGACCTGCGGCTGACGGGCAAGCGGAATTCCGGCGGAACGCCGTCCACCGTCGACGTGATCGTCAAGTTGTTGGACGTCAACGACAACGCGCCACAGTTCCGAAACCACCACCGAGTGCGGAAGTTGTCCGCCGAGGAGATCGGCCTCCAAGGGTTCCAGGGCGAACTCACCGTGCCCGTCTACGAAGCCACGTTGGCCGAGTCCGGGCCTGAGGGCACCATGGTCACTAGGATCGTGGCTGAGGATCCGGACGGGCCGGATGACGGGAACGCCGACGTTAGGTACAGCCTTTTCGGGTCGGGCTCGGAACATTTTGACATCGATCCCGCGACCGGCGTGGTCACGCTGAAGGGCCCGTTGCAGGGTGGCATCTATAACGTGACCGTGGTGGCGTCCGATTCTGGTTTCTCCAGGAAGGACAACGCGGCGCTGCTGGTGGTCAGCGTAGCGGACAAGAGCGCGGTTGCCGAGGAACCACTGCTCGAACTCCGTTACTTCGAAGTGGAGGTCGAGGAGAACTGTTTGGTGCCGTTGGAGATCCTCAAGCTGAACGTGACCACGCGGTTCAGACGATTCGCCGCGTCCGTCAGTTACTCGATAATCCCGTCGGAGAACAGCGAAAGCTTCGAGTGAGTCGTATTGCCGACGAAACATGCGTCGTCGTATTACAACGTAAATGTTACTTGTTTCAGGATCGATTCGAAAAACGGTAACGTCTACCTGATCGACAGCCCCGATCGGGAATCGACGCCCACGCTCACGGTAATGGTTCGTGTCGAGGTGACCGGAAGGAAGGGGAAATCCACTTACACGGTGCACCCGATCGCGCAGGACATAGGTACTATTACGACCCGTGGACTATTGACGTCACGTCGCGTTGTAGCCGTACTTATCGTCGGTCTCGTTTGTTTTCAGCACTGAACGAAGCCCGAATCGTGCTCAGGATAATCGATCAGAACGACAACGCTCCGAGGTTCGCCAACGATAGCACGCCGGCAATCGCAGCCGTGTCTCCGATGACAGGTTACGGGTCTCCGGTGGCCACGGTCAGGGTCAGTAGTTATACCATCGATCTCCTTCCATCCGACATACTATAACGAAATTCCCGTTTCAGGCGTTCGATCCGGACCTGGGCTTGAACTCGGACATCAGATACTCGATGATTGGGGATCCCGCGGAGAAGAGATACTTCAACGTGGACGAGCACACGGGACTGATACGCACGATCGGCGGATTCAGCCAGCTAAGGAACAACACGGTTTTCGGCTTCGACGTACGTGCCACCGACCGGGCCGGTGCGCCCGACGGTCGATCGGCGATCACGAACGTTTTTGTGAGTCTCACGGTTTTTTTTATTACGATAAAGTGTACCACAATACCGATTGAATATCGAAAATTTCGGCCATCTTTAATTCGTTTTATTCCAATGATGTTGTAACAGGTGTACATTTTGAACGATCACAAGCTTATAACGCTGGCGCTGGGGAAACAACCGTCGGTCGCGGAGAAGTATGCGGATCTCGTCACGGGTTCAATGACCAACATCACCGGGTGCACGGTTAAAATATGGAGGATTGATTCGAATGTAAATAACATGTAAGCAAACCGTGAACTCTATTCGAATTTCCAGTGTTTATGCTATCGTCTATACGGTGAACGACCGTGGGTTTTCATCTTTTAATAGCAAAGCCTAACAAGAACAGTGGTTATACAATTATGTACTCATTGTTCACACAATTATCGACCAACATTTACAACGTTTACCATAATTACCGATCATGTTTCAATTTTAATCGATATGATATCGCGGCATTAGAAACGTGATAATCTTAGTTGATTTCCATCAATCGTCATGCATAGGGCTGGGATTTTGTTGCAAATTCATCTTTTACTCTGATGTCCCACCACATAGGTTCGTAGGAAGAAAATGTGTTTCAATATTGATTAATTCAATGTAATTTTTGTTTTCCATTTTTTTTTTTTTGCATTATTTTGCATATTTTGCTATTTTTAGGGCATTTTAAAGTTATTAGAGCATTTTTCAAAATTTATTTATAAATTCTTAAATATTAGGGTATTTGATTGTGCGTTTCGGCACATGTTCGCTGAAAATTTGCACGTTTAGTATGTAATTTACGAAATTGATAAACTAATAAATACAAGCATATGGAACCTATCTATTTATTTTATCAAAAATAGAACAAAATTAATGTCTTCTTCCTCTTCTGGTTAAAGGCCTTTCAAGACCATCTCATTTCACATCCATTCCTCTATTCTTCTCTATCCATTGCTCTTTCTTTCCCATTCGTTCCTCCTCCTAGCGATTTCACATCTTTTTTAACTAAGTCTTCCCATCTTGTTTTGGGTCTTCCCAGCGATATTTTTCCTGGCGGTTTATGTTCTAACATTGCTCTAATTAGTTCATTTTGGCTCCTCCAAGCGTGGCCTGCCCATTGGACTCTTCGCCTTTTTATCACTTCTGTTATGGTTGGGTTTTGGAATAATATAGCTGTATATAGCTCTGTATTCTTTCTCCTTCTCCATTCACCGCTGATGTTATCCTTAACTGGTCCAAAGATTTTCCTCATTATCTTTCTTTCCATTATTAAAAATTTATTTTCGTTAGATTTTCTTAGCGGCCATGTTTTCGCTCCATATAGTATTACTGAGCGGATCAGTGTAATATACAATTGCTTTTTTAGTTCTATAGATAATACTCGAGATCCTAATGCCTTTGCTAGCCCATAGTAGCATTTGTTGCCTGTCTGTATTTTAGCTGCTACTTTCTTCGCTATATCATTAATTTCTGTTTCTATAGTTCCGAGATATTTAAATTGTTGCACTTTGTTGAAATTATACCTTCTAATGTTCAATGTGTTAGTAGGTGGGTGCAGTTGCCTTCTTCCAACACACATATATGCTGTTTTTCCTTTATTACACTGTAATTCTACTTTCGCTGCGGCTTTCTCTAATTTGAGTAATACATTTTTTAAACTCTCTTGTGATTCTCCTAATATGATTTTAATAATAATATTCTCCGCAGACGCTAGCAACTCTATTGAAGAGTCCTGTAATTTAATGTCTTGATTGTTGACATTAATTTTCCTTATAACTCTTTCTAATACCAGGTTAAATAAGATAGGTGATAGGGCATGCCCTTGTCTTAACCCAGATTTTATCTGTACAGTGTCCGAAATCAAGCCACCAACCTTAATTTTGACTTTTGTTTCCATTACACTAATCTTAATTAGATTTATTAACTTATTGGGGAAATGGAAATCCTTCAGTATATTCATTACACGTTCTCTGCGTAAACAGCCGTAGACTTTTTGGAAGTTAATGCAAAGTACAAAATTAATGTAGTCGAAAGAAATTTTTCAATTTATAAGAGTAATAATAGCAAGTTATGGAATCAATTAAATATAAATAATGTTAAATCAAATCTAAATATTAAACAAATAATTATCTTTTTTGTTATTATTATGTTGAATAAATATAATTAAATATGTGTGGTTACATGATATTTATAATATAATTTTTAAACTATAGTAAATTATTTTTTTTACGAAATTTTATGGTACATTTTTTATGATTCACAAAGCAATTTTTCATTTTTTTTTTTTAGAACGTTAAAATTCTAGCCCTAGTTATGTACCATCGTCACGTGCGAATGGACATAAAAATAAGTAGATTATCTCAAAAGTATAATATTTAATTTTTAACTTTTCAAAATTACTTGTCAACTACTTAGTGTGTATATAAGTATTATTTGATTAATGGTGATAAAAACTTGTACCGTAGGACTGACATTCAACTCTATGCAGTGGATCCTATCACGAATGCATTGGCCGATAGCGATTTGTTAATGAAGTAAGTGTACAAGATTATAATTTTTTTTATCAAAATTTCTGTGTTAAGTGTAGTCGCGATCTCGGAAGCAATTGAACGCGATTAGCACATCCGGGTTACAACCCATGGGCAGCCGTTATAAGAATTCGCGTTTAATTTCAATATCGAAGCGCAACAATTGTTTATAGATATTTGTGTTTGACTCGCGATGCTAACGACTGAATCGTACGTATCAATCACGAAGCGTAGTGTAATCATCGGTTTTATCGGTATCAAAACGTTATCCAACACCGATTCCGTCGCTAAAAACAAAAATGAAATTTACGATGGATCGCTTAAACTTCGGTTCGTAGCTGGAGTATGAACAACAGGGCGCGCCGTAGCGTTCGCGATTCACACTTTTGTACGTTTCAATATTGTTACGTTTTCCGTTTCTGTTAACAGTTTGATGTTGGACCACCAGGACGAGATCAATCGCGCGCTAAAACCGCTGCAGTTTATCGGATTCTCCCGGATGCCGAAAAGCCACGGGGATGTGGTCGTGGAGAACACGATGAGCTTATACACGACGTTCGAGCTGCTGACGGTGATGTTCGGGTTCATCATATTCATGGGCGCCATCACCGGTGTGGCGTGCGTGTGTACGGGACGAAAAAGGTACGTTCGTTCGTTTCCACGATTATCTTAGTAAAGTGCACGCGCGCAACGGCAAGATCGAATACGGAATGATTATGATTGACGAAACACGAGTTGAATGCCATCGAAACGAGAACACGGAAGTTGATCGCGGTCCGTACCGTAACCGTTCGAACACTGTTTTCTATCCGAGTAAGAATCGGTTCGCGAAACCGAGCTCCCGGATTTTGGGGATAGTGTGTGGGCTGTGGCCGCGCGACTCCGAGGGAATCGATGGCCCAGAGATTTCGGCAACAGACAGCCAGAAAGTAATAGGCAGTCGTTTTGCCGCGGCCCGAATGCTACCTTACGTTTATAGTAGTGTTTTTTTATTTTTTTTTTTTTTCCATTAAGTCTTATAGACTTTTGTCGGGGGCACGTTACTTTTCGCTGCGCAGCTTTTCGGTTTCACAACCACACGCAGTACAACACGAGTAATGTTTTTCGCAGGGAGAAGCAGAAAACCGTCACGTCATACGGGAACTTCGGTTTTCACGAGAGGTCTCCGTTCTCGGCGAGCAATGGCAGCCTTGCGCAGCTATCCACCTGCGAGCCCAGATCCTTGCAGAACCCCATGTCGTTCATGGAGGGCTCGCTGCTATACGGCGGGGCCGTGACTAACCCCAAACACCTGAGGAGAGGCCTGCGATGCACACAGTCCAGGACCATCATCCCCGTCGAACCTCCGATCACCCGGATGAGGCCTCAGCAGTGCGGGTCAACCAGGAGCAATGATCCCACGGACCAGTCTCAGAACGAGTGTTGTTCTTGTAGCAGCGCGACCGGCAGCACGGGCACGGCCAGTCTCACCGGGTCGTTCGTCGTAAAGTAAGCGCATTCGCGGTCCAACCGTCCGATTGTTTTTTTAAAACATCTCCTTTTGCACCGATATTTGTTTCGGAAAAATGCCATCCAGATCTGCCAACGGTATATTTTAGTCACCGTGTTCCGGAAAATTTTGTTCATTCAGGTTAAATTTTTTGTACAAACTAAAATCCTAAATGTGGTTTTGTGTACGCGCCTGATAATTTCTATTCGTGTTTTATTTAAATTTAATGTACCGTTTATTTCGTTATTTTTCACTAAAATTCGTCGAAAAATCATTCGAATTGCATCCGTAATTTTGGCACATTCAGTTGGCGCAAATATAGCTTACTTTCTATGACACATTTACGCGCAAACGTTGTCGACTCAGCGCCGATCTAGTCCGGCAAACACTCAAACGTAATACGATGGTTTTCGTTATGTTCCCGCAGGTCCAGCGATAACTTCGAAGACTCGTTGCGTTCGATGGACAGAGTCAACAACAGTGTGAGCTGCCAGGGGCATTCGCAACGAAGTTGCTGCAACGAAGACGATTCGAACCAGACCCAAACGAGTATCGTTAAGGTCTGCAAATGCCCGATGTCGCTGTGATTCATATTCAAATGCTCATTATTTTAATAAAATTAATATTATATTATGTATATATGTATAAAATAAAAATTATTTAATTTGCTTACGAAATAAAGTAATAAAAAAATAAAAATTATAAATCACAAAAATATACGTATATTTTTTTTTGTTTGCTGTAGCCGTTTGACGAACCGTCCGCTCGGACGTTACGAAAGTTACTTATTTCTCGTTTTGCTCGCGATTTGCTTTTCGATTTCTCCGAGTGTCTTGCCTTCGGTTTCCGGCAGACAGTAGTACACGAACACCACACCGACGCTGGTTAGCAACCCATAGAACAAGAAACATCCATGCAAATCCACCGCGTTGATGAGGTTCACCCACGTCTTGGACACGATGAACGCGATTATGTAGAAACTTGCAGCGCACACACCGCCAGCGACTCCTCGTCCCCTGCAAACGATTAAGGGATCGGTTAGCCGTACACGTATGTCCAGGGACCGGAACCGAAATCAACCGGTTCTGGAAAAGGTTAACCTTAATATTTCAGGAACTGTAACCATTAAGGTACCTTTATTTGAAAAAAAAAAAAAATGTAAAATCGTGACCTCAACCGTGATTTTAATTTTGGTTAATTTTGGTTAGTGTTAATATCGTCTAAGTCGATCCAGAAAAATAAAAGTTAATTTTTTTAACGTTATTCTCTTACGTTTTAAATTGCAATTTGCAATACATAAATATGTCTATAAACAAATAGTTAACGTATAGGTATAAACAAATAAATGTACTCGTAATAAATGAACGCTTAGCTCAGAGTATTATTATGTGTGTATTAATGTACGACCGATTTCGAAAAAATAATTCAACATTAGGTGTGTAAAAAGTTAATAAAATCGCGACTCTAAATATAATTTTTTTATTCAACTGGCCACCCATCAGTTTTCAATACAAATAATTTTCAAGGTACAGTCTATTTGAAGAAAAAAAAAAAATAATACAGATGTATGATTGTTATTTACAAATTATACAATAAACTTTTTTTATTATTTAAAAAAAATATATACATCGAATTAGAAACAAACACATAAATCAAACGGAAAAAACCAAAATCGAACATTTGTATTTGATTATTATTATTATTTTATTTTTCGTTTGAAGCTTATTAATATATTACAATAATTATGTTGTCTTTTAAATATTAAGTATAATGAATAATGATATTAATTAAGATTAAATGTATAAATGTTATAGATTCCGAGTGTAGTGAATGAAGATATTCTTTTCTCGCTAAATAATGTCGGTTGGTCAAAACGCTACAGTATACCAATCAGCTCCCGAACAACGTAAAACAAATACATTTTATGCTTTACACATAATATAAAAATTAATTTAAATTTAACTTTTGTAGATTAATTTTATTTTTGAGTTTTAAAATAGATTATTAATTAGAGTAGCTATATTTAAGCACTCGTGGCTTAGTAAACTCCCAAAAAAAATTATAGGAACATCATTGCCTCTAACTGTGTTAACATTTTTTTCTAACGACCGAAAGTAAACCTAACCGAAAATCATTACAAATGCGATTACAAGAATTTCATCGTTTCCCTAATTGGTCTAAAGGAACCACATAAGAATCAATATAACTAAATGAGCCCAAATGTAATTTACCAGGAAAAAAAACAATTTTTTTATAATTATTTTTTAGACGGTCAACAAATCGAAACAGTTTATTCTATAAAAGAAATAAATAATAGTTTATTTATAAAGCATTATACTATCAGCTGATCTTACATTCTCTGACCACATATCGTATATACACATAAAGCAATGCGCATGTTAAGGTTTATTTTGCCCCATATGGACGTAAATGAACGATTATAAAAATAAACGAATAAACTATTATAAACCTAGAAGTGTTTCGGTAACGTCGTACGATACCGGGGTAACGGTGTTAGCGTACCTGGTCGGGAACATTTCGCTGATCAACAGCCATGGCACGGGGGCGATGCCCACGTTCATGGAGAAGTATAGTGAGCAGAAGAGCAGCAGTGGGATGACGGGCAGAGAATACCAGCTAGTGGCGTACGTGTACGCGCCCAGTAGTAGGCAGCACAACGCACAGCTGGTCATGGAGACCAACGACAGGGCTCTTTTGCCAACAACGTGCACCAGGCAAATGCACGTCACGGTGCCGGCGAATTGGGACGCAGCCGACACGACCTGAAACGAATCGTAAGTTAGTGCTGTCCTGATTGTGTCCTGGTTTCATTGATAAGTTATCGGAAAAACCGTGCTACAGGGGCCGCATATCTCTGCCCAAACCTACTTTTAGTTGCGATCAAGTCGAGTTGAAAAAGTAAATCCGCAGCAGAAAAGTCAAGGAGTTTACTTTTTAATCCGCTAACGTCCGGTATCGATTTATAATACTACTAAAATTTGTTTCCACCAATGGTGAATTTTACGGATTCGTTTGTTTTATTCTTAAAAAAATACGCTAATTTTTCATTGACAATACCGCACAATCGTTTTTCCCCCTCTTGAACTGTCGCTGTGTCAATATCATTTGATTTTTTTTTTTTTTTTTTATGATAAGAACAAATCAATGACAGTATGAACGCGAGGGAATATCGAATATTACGGACGATATGGAAAGGGACGGAGGGGTTTGGTTTGGATAGACTTACGGTGAGCAGGTTCGGCGATAGCGGTACTTTCAACCGGGCAAACACTTCGATCATATACGCTCTCAAGGCCGTCAGCGAACCGGCGTGGTAGAAGAAGACGTACGCAATGATCAGCCGCATCGGCACAAGAATGCCGGGACGGAGAAGGTCTTTTAAGCCGTAAACGAATCCGGGTTGGCGTTCGGGTCTCGGGTCGCACTCGCTGTCTGAAAACAAAACCGTTTTCAAGATAAAAAAAAAAAAAAAAAAAAAAAAACGCGCTCTGCCCGCCGAAAAACGTGATCGACTCGGCGCAAGGTTTAACGACCGCTAATGTACGATCATTGTTAAACGTGTCGGGTGTGCGTACACGGGTTCCGATTCCGCGACGGAATCGGATAGAAACCGTTCGCAAACCTGGCACGCCGGTGTATCCGGACGATTTCCTCAGCTCGGCTTCCCACGCGCTTTTGTACTCGTCCCTGGACGCCTCGCAGTACAGCTGTAGCGCGCGGAACTCGTCGCTCACCTCCTCAGCGGAAACCCAGCCCCGGAGCCATCTCAGCGCCGACATGGCCTCGTCCTTCCTGCCTTTGGTCAACAGCCACACGGGCGACTCGGGCACCTGCGCAACCGTACCGGAATCAGAAGCAGTGATACGTTTACGGAACAGAACGTTTTATCCCCCACTCCCCGCTAGCGTGTGCGGGTACGTACGCGGGCATTCGGAATATTTTATAGATTGTCCCGATAGAGCGTAACACTATCCAACGATCGTGGGCGTACGTGATTGTTCGGGTCGATCAAATGGGTTGCTGCCGTATGCATTGCCGGAACACCGAGGGTAGATATCGGTATGCTACGGTCGATTTATAAATTAATTTGCAGGTATTCGTTCGAATTAAATACCTTTCGTCAAATAGTTATCACTCGGTAGTTGCGAATAATAATATGCGTCTGCGGCCGTTCGATAACCTGTCCGTGTAACTCGGTTATCACTCTAAAGCCTTTTACGATCGGCAAACTCGCTACAAATATGCGTTTTTCAAATTCTAGAAAAAATGATTTTGGCGCACAATAAAAGTTAAGCTTGTTTATCCGTTTTGGGACGTGACAAGGATTCAGGTAGTATCGTATTCAGGCCGTGATCACCAGGACCAGTGATTTGGTATTCATTGTAAAATAACAGTCAAAACCGCGGTAAATATTTTAATACAAGCATAACCGGTCGTTACCGTGATTTTGATTATGATTATTTGACTATGTATTTACGAGAACGACCGAATCGTTGTTAACTCGAATAACCCATCTCCGCTTTTGGGCCTACGAATCCGATTTATTTACATATAAATTATAATTTAACGTGCTCAATGCATATCAATTACCGAAAAAAAAAAAAAAAAAACCCGGTGAACTTTATTGTCCACGGTTGTGAATGGATATGTGTACATCACTTTTAGGTCTTGCCTTGACTCCAGTAAAATGTTATAATTAAATTAAACCCGCAGGACTCGGAGGAAGTACAACGTTGAACCACAAAGAAAGACCGGAGAGATATCACGTTCCGTTGAACACGGCCAGCTCCGATTATTATAAATTCCCGGTCAACTGGCATGTAAAATTATGAAATTCGGAACGTCTCCACCCCTTCCCCATACGGTAACCTATGTACTTGTAGTCGCGTTCGCCCGCGTGGGAGTTACAACCAAAAGAAACGTTCAAGCTGCGTTCATCCGATAACTGAGCTTTTTTAATGAGATATCGCTCGACTGTTTGCGCGAAAAATAATATCTACAAAGCGTTTCCATTTGTCGGGGTCGCGATCGCGGTAGCGTCGCGTATCGTTAACTCGCCGAGGATGAATCCGAAACGTGACATCGCGCCAAACAACTCTTATCGTCCGGGGCCAAGCGTATTAAACTGTTTGTACGAATCGCGTGCGATAGAACAATACGCGACGCGGCAGACACGGTTTGTTTGTTTTATTTATTTAGCAATCTTGCGGTCGAGAACTTCACGTCGAACCCGGCAAGTGCGACATGATTTCAACAATCGATCATCGGAACTCGCGTGGTCGGAGAGGGGTGTTTTCGAAGTCGGCTGGTAAACTCGATTCGAGAGAGGAGCGGAACGGGCGGACACGAGCCGTTCTCGAATAACAAAACACTTGGTCCGGGTTGCACTTGATCCGGATATCGTTAAAAGCGTTTCGTATCGGTTGGGGACGATAAAATAGTCCTTAATTAAAAATCGGTTTAAGGTTACGGGTGCTTTGGAGTGTTAATCGGATACGTCAGTACAAGAGATTCAAAATATTTAAGTTTACTGTTGAAAACCTATTCGTAACACCGACGGTTATGCGTTCCGTACGCGAGAACACAATACTATTCGGATCACGCATTTAATTATCCGCCGTAGCTACATATTCCTGAAATACGGTATATATTTAAACCGCAAAACTGTTGCTAGACGTCATTACGATGAATTTATAAGTTAATTCATTCACTTAAATTACAATACCAATTTGGGTAGCAAATATTTATCACTAAGTTGCATTTGAATGAGCAATAATGCATTTTACGGTAGTATAGTGTTGTTTGCGCGGAGGATGGAGAACGGAATTTCGATTTAAATTTTTTAATGTTTTACGGTTCAAAATTACACATCGAACTCGTTGATGCGGTATTCTATTATAATCGGTGTGTATTCTTGAAAATTAACGCCTGTGGTTGTGGTAGAAACCGTAGAAAAAACCAAATGTTCCGGATAGCCCGTTCGTTAAGCGCAGTTAACACACGAGCATAGGCACAACTAAAGGGGGTCTTGGGTGGCTTAGCACCGCTAAATATTTTAATAGCCCTGCCAGATTAAGAATCATGAACCTCAAAATGTTGTGTTTGAGATAAAATTTAATCGTCTATGTTGATAATTTCAGTGTATGAAATACGAGTAAGTGTTAAGTTGTTTTCGGTGTATTATAACTTTTGTTTTACTTAAGAACATTCTAAATTAAAATTTGGTCGTAAAATCGCGCTTTTTAACCTTCTCAAATTTGACATGATTCTAGAGTAATCGAATGGTGACCAGTTTTGCCTGTAATTAAATTAGTAGACAGTTGTGTGGAGGTGTATCCGATCTTGGTTCTCATAGCCCCTTCCAAATGGTAAGTTCCAGTCGCACCCATGGATGTTAGTTTTCTAGTAACCGGTGAAACATTGCTGCACTGGACAACTATTTTGCTAGCATATTGTACTGCTGGAGAAATACAAGCTGCTACTAGTTAAGTACAAACAACTAGTCGTTCAAATACTCGATACTATTTACTATCGCGTCTCATGAAATAACACGTTAGTTCGTGTCAAAATGTTGAAATATTTCGACTTCACTAGTGGACCGGTACGCAAAGAAAACAGTCAACTTATTTACTAGGTAGCAAACTTAATTCAGACGATGCTTTTATACTAGTAAGGTACCTAGCAATTTGCAACGCAATTTTCAGAGGTGTCGTAGTCCATGCGGAAAATTAGTCTAAAGATAGGGGAGGCTTCAGCCCTCTTAACCACCCTTGTATCACAAGGGTGCACAGACGCATACGCACGCACACGTTAGCGCAAACGATGCGTTTACCATGCACAGGGCCGCGAAGGCGACGGCGGGCACCGCGCAGCTGACGAGCATGACCAATCTCCACGGGAGCAAGCAACCGAGCCCGAACTCCAACAGGTGGCCGAGCACGGCGTTGGCGTTGGAGTACGTGGCCAACCGACCACGGAGCTTGGGCTCGGTAATCTCACCGATGTACGCCAGCAAAGGCGCCTCCAGGAACCCGATGCCGACGCCCATAGACGCGGACGCAACGTACAGCATGGCCGCGGACTGCGCCGAGTGCAGCAGGTACCACGAGACCGCGTGCGGCACCGTCACCAGCACCATGGTCCACTTCCTGCCCAGCGGCGCCTGTAAGCAGCCCGACAGCACGCTGCCCACCGGCTGGCACAGCAACAGCACGCTGCCTGCAACGGGGTGAGCACAACAACGGGGTGAGTACAACAGTGGGGTGTGCACACGGCGCTAACGTGGCCGTGTCGTCCGAATCACCCGCCGCCCGGGACCACACGAGCGCGCACGGAGCAGAGGGTGGGTTACCGACGTGAATGGGTTTGCGGGCGAGCGCAATAGTTCCGAGAGCCGAAATGTTTACGCATGAATTTTTAACGGTTTGACGGTTTTTTTTTTTTTTTATAAATGTACGCCTAGAATATTAAAATTCGAAACAATAATGATGTGATAGGTAAATTTTAATTTTATAAAGAGAACGCGAGCAGCGAGTTTTCCACCCCTGGTGTATGGAGTGCGTCGTAAGGGTACGCGATATGGTCACACGAGCAACGTGCGTTAAAAATGTTTTTTAAAAAAAAAAAAATTTAAAAATGTTTCGAATGCAAACGTCAAACCACGGAAACGCGTTAATATCAGTAATATTGGTAACCGTACGGAAGAAGCGACGACACGACCTTCGTTAATACAAGTAAATTAGTACATGTAATTAAATTGATTACATTAAGAGGTTGTTATTATAATAATAATAATAATATTAAAAAAATAAAATAAATTATAATTTTGTCATAAAAATAACAAAAAACAAAAGAAATACATTGTTATTGACTTTATAATAATAATAATATGATTGATGTCGAGTCGAGTCGAGTTCAAAATTCGAGTACTCGAAAAATATTGAGTACTCAACGATTTGAATTGCCAAGTACTCGAAAGTAAAAGTCTAGTATTTAATCGAGAAAAAATTCGTTGTTTCTTATCTGTATAAATTATCGTTATCACGATGATAAAATATCAAATTTTCTATCGGAAATATTTGGACCCCAGTTATTTATAGTCTTAATATTTATTTTTCAATAAAATAGTGAAAAACACCGGAGAACTCCACAAAGTCGAGTAAAGTCAAATACTCGATTTAAGTCGATTAAAATCGAGCAGTTGTATTTAGGTGTACAACATTTTTTTTCGTAGAGTCGATTTCAAGACAACGGGGTATAACGAATGAGATCGCGGTAATCGTTTGGTACGACAGTATTGCGTTTATAACGTTAATCGCCGCCATTGTGTCCGCGACTTTCTGGCAAACGGTTCTTTTCCATCGAATTCGCAAGAGAAACTCGAAAAGACGCTTTTTTTTAACCCCCCCCCCAATTACAACTACATATTATTATTATTATTATTATTATTATTATCTGTTCTCACCACGCACCACTGATGGTTCGTTTTTATTGTGGTTATAAAAATATTAATTTAATGATTACGAACTGAACCATGAAGCCTGGTAATCGTCCAACGACAGGCCCTCTTTCGCGTTGTGAAGCTCGCCGATCACTATTGTAGGAACGGCTATCATCATTCCCAAGTCTAATACCAACAGACTCACGGCGACCGTCGCGAGCACCTGTAACGTAAATCAATTGATTGCAACGCAACACGGTATGTTATCCTCTATCGACGGTTGAGGTACATTGCGGAAACAGCAACCACGGTAACCGCCGGTTTTCAGTGGCAATATTTCAGCGGCGTTTATCGATCGCAAGACTACGCGACTATACCTAATATATATATTATGTGGATCTTGTGCAAAATTGCTCGGTTAGAATATTATAACAGTATATTACGTTGCTCCGAAACGCATGAAATTCCAGTTTAGTTTCGAGTAAACACGTTACGGTTTATACTCGTGTGAGTAATAAATGATCACACGTGCGCGTGTGGGTGTGTGTGGATCAATTCCAGTGACGATGTGAGGGGGACAATGGGGGCAGTTGCTCAGGGCCCCGCGATTCTGAAATATTTTTTAACTGTGCTCAAATTTAACTGAACTTAAAATATTTTATAAATATAAATTATAAGATCCAACATTTAATTGGAATTTAGGGGGAAAAACTTATAGCGAGACAGACTTTGACGTGAACCCGGTCCAAGAACAATACACTCCCATGATGACCGATCGAAGTTTATATTTTATTCGTTCAGTAATAATATTAAATTAGTTAATATTTTAATTAAATATTTATTTAATTTAATTATTAATTAAATATTAATACTAATATACGATTTCGATGTTCGGAGAAAGAGGAGGAGGAGAAGTTATAAAAATGCGTACGTACTAGCCATATTATGGTATTTGTAGAATACCAAACCTTTATATAAACCTTCCAAAAAATTAACATCCGAAGCCCGTAAAGGAGAGATATTTTACCGTAACTATGACGCGCAAAGGAGGATCTTAGAAAACGAAGAAAAAACATAGGCAATGATTCATTTACAAGAGCAAAGCCTATTTGGTTTAACTCGAAATTCTATATACTGTGTATATTCGAATTGAAACTGTTTGCAGGCGAACGGTCGTACCCGGTTGGGAGGCCCGGGGGAAATCGAATGTTCTAGGACATCGATAACTCCGAAATAACATTTGGATTGCCAGCATACCGGGTTTGATCGATCCGGTGCGGTAGCTAAGCGCATAAATTACATTTACAGATATATAAATGAAATCATATTAAATTGTTGTTCAAAATCAAGACTATTATTATCTTATTGAACTGAACGCGGACGTACCATACTGGACTGATTTTTTTTTTTTTGTAGACAAGAGGACCGGACCGAAAAAGACCGGACCATGGTTCTATGCTATAGTGCACACTAACCGTCGAAATTTAACTACCAACAGACGATAACAATAAACGGATAACTGCAATAATGTGAGACCAACCGCTCGTCGTACGTACCTGCGCCAGTATTCGGCGTGTCTTGTGCAGTTCTTTCCTGTTACGGCCGGACCCGATAAGGACTTCGCCGCCCAGCTCTCTGCGAACAAAACAAATGCCAAAGGTCAGTACGCATTTATTATTATTTCATTGACGTGCTATCACGACGCGTGGGCTTTCCGTTCTCTCCTTTTGCGTTTCTATGACCTCGCAAGGTCCCTCAGCGTTCGGTCTACACCGGCCGTTGAAACGATTCGGCCTTGCCAGTCATTTTAAAAAATAACCGTGCATACCATAATGCGCTGATATGGTTTTTGTTTTTTATTATTTGATCGTTTGAATTTAACCGGTTCGACCACTCGATTGTGTGTTATGTATCATAGTGTAATATCATCCTATAATAACTATAGGATACAATGCGATTCGCAAGAACAAGCGATGGATTGTGGCCCCTGTAGAAATTTTTATAGCCCTCTCATTTTATCAAAAATTAATAAATTCTAGTTTTGAATGTTTTTATATTTTTTTCCTAAAATTCATCAAGCTTTAAATATTAGCAGTCTATTGTGTATTGACAATAATTGTAATAATAATATATTGTAATAATTATTATTGCACTAACAAATATAAAACTACTTATTTTTATCACAAATTATGTTTATTTATAGATGAACGTAGTATTAATTTTAGATTTACCTTGTGCGATCGTCGGGCCATGCATTGTCGCGTCGTCCGATGACAATATTATAACGATAATGGATAACAATTTGTATGGCAAAACACAATTAATTTTTGAAAGAAGATGTTTTATTGATTATTTTAAAAAAAAAAATTAGCGTAATTAAATAACTCAAAATTAATTTTTTTTTTTATGAATTGTAAAATACAATGCCAGGTAAAGAATAAGACACCCATAAATTGTTTCTCCTAGGAAATGTTCTCTATCACTTTAATTCGAACTAAAGATAAGGAGTTTTTGGAATACATTTTTCTAGTCCTATAATATAGTCCCCACAGATAATAATACCAAGTCAATAGCATATTGAGCGTTGCGTTTCAAATTAAATGATAATAATTAATGTTAAATGATACGGTATAAAGACCATGAAGATGAATATAAAAATGACCAATGGACGGGCATAACGTGTAAACCCATCTAACGGTACTTTTTAATCAACTAGACGCGTACAAGATAACGTTTTTATTGTTGCTCAAAAGAAGATAACGATTGATCTGATCAAGCATTTATATTGGGTTCATCTGATGGATACAAATCGAGATCGCATCATTACAGTTCGCTGAATGGGAATGTAGACCACGTTGTGGATCCGAAAATGATAAGCGACTAAGGAGCTCAGAACAATCATTATTATTGCAGAAAAAATTCGTATAAGAGACATACGTCAAGTTTTCTGTGATTGAGAGCATGAAGAAATCGAAAAGGTAAGAAGCACGGGATGTATTGAGATTCAAGATTTCAGAATCCCGTTAAAATCCGTACTGCAACAATTTTCCGGCAATGTTGTAGTATTTATTATTACACAGTAATCTATATACATAAAAATGGAGCCAAAAATGTATAACATTTCATCAATTGAGAACGGCTGGGCCGATTTGGCTCGAATTTTTTTTTTTATGTACACAATATACAGAGATAATACACATGAGTGGCTGACAAAAAGAGCAAATTCAGCAGCAAAAAATGTGGACGTCAACGAGTTGAATCTTAAAATACAACATTTGTTACCAGGAGACTTGGTGTCATACAAATCTATTGATACAGTTTTCGATGCTACTGAAGCTGTAAATTATCCAACATATAGTTTTTAAACTCATTGGATTTACCAGTCCACCGCAAAATTTACAACTGAAGGTTGGACATCTGGTTATTTTGGTTCATGATTTGAACCCCCCCTGGTTGTGTAACGGCACGCGATTAGTTATTAAAAAATTAATGGAAAATGTTATCGAAGCCATCATTTCAAATGGCAAATTCTGAGGTGAAAATATATTATTACCACGAATCCCTATTTTACCCACAGATATGCCAATACAATTTAAACGCCTTCAATTTCCAATTAGATTAGCATTTACAATGACTATCAATAAGTCTCAAGGCCAAACGATGTCTGTCTGTGGCTTAGATTTGAGCTCATCATGTTTTTCACACGAACAATTATAATTAATTATAAGTGACGTGCTCTCAAACCATCCAGTTTGTGTTGGCGAAAGATGACAACAAATTTCGTACACTCTGTTGCATTAAGGGATTGATATTGTTTTTTACTTATATTATTATAATTAGCGATATATATCATTTTTAAGAATCAATTTTAATAAATTGTTAAAAAAAAAAATGTTTGATGTTTTTTCATTTTTATATTCCGTCACCGTTCACAGCACTCCATACCTTTTCCACTTATATCCACATCTTTACATACTTATATTAAATTAGTTTTTTTTTTCTGGCAAAATATTCTCTAGAAATAATTTATATGACAAAACAACGTTTGTCGGCTCAGCTAGTTATATATATATATATATATATATATATATATATATTATTGCAATACTTTTACAGGTAGTTTTAATAAGATTATACATTTTGGCCGTTATAGCTTTGTCAATACAAATTATTTAAGCCAATGTTACTATTGAATTACTAAAGTACAGTTTTGTATTCAATTTAATCGTATCAAGCATACGCAACGGTGATCGATCGATTTACATTTTTAAATACTCGAAAAAAAAATTAATTTAACGATGTATTTTTACATAGCAAAGGTGATACAATACTTATATTCCGGAATCTCTAGTTTAATATTCTACGCTTCTCGCTGCCTACCAACGTAAAGCTTTTAAGACCCAAAAATTCTGCTGAATAAACTACGAGTGCAAAATAATAGTATTTTTGCTTTTAGTTTAATTCAATAATGTATTCTATAAGTCGCATATTTTATAACTTTATTCCTTACACGTGCACATACTCGTATAAGGGAGTGGAGAGGTTTGAGTGTGTAAATGCATATTCCAGACTTTATCAGTGTTCGGAGTCGAGTCCGAGTACTCACGATTATATTCGATAAAAAAAATGTTTGTATTTGTAAACACGATTACTCGATTTTACTCGACTTTATTTCGCTATTTTATTGAAAAATAAATGAATCGCTAACTGCAGAAACGGGACAAGTCCATTTTTATCAAATTTGATTTTATTATCATTTTTTGTTAAGTACGCGTAAATACATCGTTTACTGTAGAATAGAGTCAAATCCGCTATCCAAACGCTAAATATAGCGTTTGGAAATTTCACTTTACTGCAGAAAGGGAACATATGTTCGGTTTTTCATCATTCCTGAAAAATTAGGAAAAGTGGACTTGTCCCGTTTCTGCAGTTAGCTATTCAAATGTTAAAACTACGAATAACTCGGAGCCAAATATTTCCGATAACAAATACCAGGAAGGTTGATGGTTATGGTTAACAATAGATTGTCATTGCTTTGATATCTTAACATCACAATAAAATACATCATATACAGATTTAACTTATGGTTTAACCCCCCAGATTTAACCTCATTTTTCAGTTACACGACTTTATTATTTCTCGAGCGCTCGAATTTCGGACTCTACTCGAATCGGAGCAATCGAATCCCGGCTTGATTACTCGAATTGACACCGAAAAACAGTACTCGTCCAACTCTAACGTTTTGAAACGGTCAACATTATATTAACGAATCGCTGTACGCGATGGGCCCGTTGAATAAACCGTGCGAGATTTCAATTACCCTGGGCCCATTGGAATCATCTTCGCCGTCGCCACTGCATGCACGCTTTGGTCTGTACGCGAACACGATACAACGTCGTCGCCAGTGGAATAGCGAACTACAAAGAATATATAAGCCAACAATTTATTAATGACAATTAGTTTCCGCGTGCTGCCGCGTCGTCATTAGTCGCTGTATGCCGTCGTCTGCGTTTATCCGCTAGTTCACGGATAAAAAATATCGCAGAATTGAATGAGTTTATAAAAAATTTAGAATCAAATTAAGTTACAAATATTAACTTATGTATTAAGTATAATTAATTGTTCAAAAAAAAAAAAAAAAAGGGTTTTTCATGTTCGTTGTTTTATGAAGTATGTATTTGTATTTTCTGAGTCCATTTTTATTGAAAAGAAATAAATAAGTTGGTCAATTTCTTATTTAATCTAAAACCAATTTTTTTTTTTTTTTAAAAATAGACTCAAAAAATACATTAGATTTTTCGATGGACTCATATCGGTTAAATATATACTGCTATGGAGTAAATGTTAAATAATTTAAATCTCCGCAGAATATAAACAACGAGTCGTACCAGGGTCACCGCAATGACCCGTTGATCTTTGTGAAACGGTTTTGTGATCACGTCGGCGCACAACCTTTTCCTCGGCAACTGTGCGCGTGTCGATCGATATCACAATACGGGCGCAGCTTTTTTCGAAGGACGTGTCGTGCGATTGTTTTTGTTTCGTCCGTTTCGACTTTCACGGTTGATATCAAAATGCGCAGGGCCGTGGTAACGGGTTGGGCGGATTGAAAAAAAAAATAAAAAACACCAACTTATGAATGTTTAAACCGTGAACATGAGTACGTGTAATGGAATGCGCAACCGTACGCAATGCAATTTACATTTTATAAACATTTCAAATGTTACGAATGTAAGAGACCACTTCGTGACTAACGATTTGTTTCACCAGTTAGATTTCATTGCATATTGTTGCCCTGCCTGTGCGTAAATATAAAAATAACGATCTATAAGTTACGTTAAATCTATAAATCACTGCGGAATAACCACATATCTATGGAACATAGATTTGTTATAGACAATCACTATTGATTTTCTGGTTACCACACCGTAATTTTTTTTTTTTTTACTAAACCACTACAGTTTGACACGTGCCGATAAGATAATTGTCTTAATATTTGGCGACTGTTTTTTTTTCGCCTGTGTTAGTTACTAAAACACCAAAACTATCTAAAAACTAGTTTTTGAAGCTGTTACATTTAGGCTATCGAAACATTTCAACGACTTAAAAAATTTTCTCAGGACGACGCTGACTAC